TTACTCTTTGAACTATGGGGACCTGGCCAGCTTTCATCAGCAAAACGTTCATGTTGTACTACAGTTTTGTTATAACGGATGCTGAACTTTTGTACAACATTTTTTCTCTTTCATTTTGCAATGTCCCAATGCACTTTAAATATTCCTTTTCCACTTATAGTGTCTGATCTTTTGAATAAGTTCTTTTTGAAATTTCGAGAAGTACTTTTTTTCTTGGACTAGAATTATAGCTTTCATAGTTTTCTCACATTTATTTCCTTTAGCTCCTTTCCCCAGGCAATCTGTTACTGCTTCTTAAATATCTTTCCAGATATATTTCATGCATATGTAAACATTATGTTTGTGAGTATATACATAGGTATTTTTCTCCACTTAAAAATTTATAAGTGGCCCTGGCTGGCATAGCTAAGTGGATTGAGCACAGGCTGTGACCCAAAGGGTCGTCAGTTCAGTTCCCAGTCAGAGCACATGCCTGGGTTGTAGGGGGTGTGCAAGAAGCAACCACACACTGATGTTTCTCTCCCTCTCTTCCTCCCTCCCTTCCCCTGACTAAAAATAAATACATAAATAAAATCTTTAAAAAAATTTGCGCCCTGGCTGGTGTAGCTCAGTGGATTGAGCACGAGCCTGCGAACCAGACAATCGCGGTTCGATTCCCAGTCAGGGCACATGCCTGGGTTGCAGACCAGTTCCCTGCAGGCCAGTTCCCAGCAGGGGACGCATGAAAGGCAGCCATACATTGATGTTTCTCTCCCTCTCTCCTTCCCTTCCCTTCTAAAATAAATAAATAAAATCTTTAAAAAAAATTTATAAGTGGTGGCCTAGTACAGCCTACCTATTCTGCACTTTACTCTCTCTCGGGCTACATCTTAGAGACATTTCATGTCAGTGATGAGTCCAGGAGTCAACGGGTGGAAATGAGAGTGTCATCACTCACTGCCACCTCAATCACCCACTAGCAAAATGTTTGCTCCTCGTTCCCACAACCTTGTGTTCTGCTGGCCTCGACATCTTCATCCCACAGGGGAAACGCTTCCACCTGGAGACACAGCAATGACACCGCCGCGCTGGGAGTGAAGACCCAGCTGCTTCTCAAGCTACTGAATTATCCAGCAAAGAAGGGAGCTACTGCGCTGGGTGGGGTGATTGATCCTGACTTCCCAGGGGAAATTGGACTACTAGTCTACAGTGGGGTCAAAAAGATTATTCTAAAATGCAAGAGGTCTCTTCATCACCACACTCTGTGATTAAGATCAGCAGAAAACGACAACAACCTAATCTAGCTGGGACTATAATGGCGCAGACCCCTGAGAAATAAAGGTTCAAGTCGCTCTACCAGTTGAAGAACTGCAACCAGCTGAAGTGCTTGTTGAAGGCCAAGGGGATTCGGAAAGGGTAGCAGAAGAAGGCAGATGTAACTACCAGCTATGGTCACATGACCAGTTAGAGAAATGAGAGCTGTCACCCTCATAAGCATTTCCTCCTTATGTTGTTACGGATATGTTTGTGTGTGTATATTTGTGTTTGGCAAGTATCTTTGTTTCTTCTCTCTTATTCCCTTATCATGTAACATGAGATGATTGACTTTACATCATAGTATTTAAGTCATAGGATGTCAGAGAGAGGACTTTATCTCCTCTTTTGCTGATCCGGTTAGTGCAGTTTTGGTTGTTCACAGGTTAGTGGTGTCAGGTTAGGTGGAACCGGACCCCTTCCTGTGTTCACTGGAAAGTAGGTGTGGTTTGAGGAGATGGGCATAGGGGCCACGTTGACAAGGGGGAGCCTTGTCATGTGTCTGCTTAACAGGGCTGCGGGGTGCCCAGAGGTTTGGTTAAATGTTGCCCCGGATATGTCTGTGAGGGCGCGTCTAGATGGGAGCAGCATGTGAACAGGCAGGCTGAGTAAAGCAGGTTGCCCTCCCTCCCCATGTGGCGGGCCGCACCCAGCAGGTTGAAGGCCCAAACAGAACAAAAAAAGTAAAGTAAGGTGGTGGTGAAATAAGCATTCACTCTCTGCTTGTCTTTGAGCTGAGACACAGGTCTTCTCCTGCCTCCGAATGCAGACTCGGACTGGAACGTGCACCGTCAGCTCTCCTGAGTCTCAGGCCTCAGGACTCCGACCGGAACTATCACTGCCTCTCCTGGGCCTCCAGCTGGCTGACCATAGATTTTGGGACTTCTCAGGCTCCATAGAATAAGTCTATCTATTCTGTTTCTGTTCTCTAGAAAACAAGACTAATAAGCGTACAGAGAAATCTCCTTAATTCTTTTCGATGGCCAGATCATATTCCTGATGATGAAAGTGGCCTAACCGAATCATCCTCAGTGATAACACAATGAGGCTCTTCCCCGTGTTTTTTTTTCTAATTTCACCAGAGTATCAGTAAATATCTGTACGCATATATCCTTGTCAACATACCTTAGAATACAATTTCCCCATAGGATAACTCTGTAATATGCATGTTCCGTACAATGTCAGGCATTTGACGTTAGAACTATTTAGTAACTATTTTAACACAATAATAATTTTTAAAATAGCCAGTCAATTCATGTAACATAACTAGCTAAATGCCAATAAGGACATTCTCCTGAAGCAGATCTCTTGAACCACAGAAGCAGAGAGAGTGCTTTCAGCAGGCCAAAGGATGTTGGCCCTTCTTTTCAGGAAGCCCAATGAGTCTCCTTGGGCCTCTTCTGGTAACAGACACCCACTGGAATTATGATTTGGAATCATTTCCATCACAAATCCCCTCTTTCCACGCCCCTTTAAAACGCAGCTGTGATATCTGGCTCCTGACCAAGGCCTGCTGCACCAACGATTCTCTACATTTTATTTATATTTCATGTGCAGTATGTCCAAACTCTCACTCTCCCAGGTGCCAGATGCTGGTTTGGACACTCTCCAGTGGAAAGTGTTTTCCTGTAAAATAATAGAAGTAAAATGCTGAACAAACCGACTCTTTATATCAGACTTGCACCTAGTTTCCCAGAGTTAAGTGCTTTAATAACGACTCACTACCGTCCCAGACTTGCAGTCCCCCGAATCCCCTCTTCACCTGCCTCCACACCTGATTGCCCTGTGGCTTCCACAGGATATAAAGGCTTGGAGTCATTTCACGTTTCTTCAGTGTTCCTTTGAATGTGTCAGAGTGTAGGGATCTGTCTCACATGCTTTCAGTGGTGCCTGATGTAACCCACACACCAGTATTTCAAATATGATTTGGGTGAGAAGATAAAGCATGAATCCACTGACAGGATTTTAAAAGATATTTAATAACTTAATGTCTGTTTTGTTAATAACTTTAACATGTTTTCATCAAAAAGTGATGCTTTCTGTGTTTTATAATACAGAAACTCTGTCCCTGCAGGTGTGCAGAATTTTATAATACAGAAACTCTGTCCCTGCAAGGGTGCAGAATTTTGGCATGCCACTCTAAAACTTAACTCAGAAGTTGCATTTGTGATACGGTTGTTGCCTCTTTAAAGGCAGTCCTCAATCCAAAGATCCTATTTGTGAACTGAGCAGCAATATTAGGTAGATACTAAGAAAGCGGATATAATTTTTTTAGAGATTGCCAGTCCACTCTTGGCTTCACCACCATCCACTGCATGGGTTTATGTGGTAACATTTTACTAAGCTGAAAACCAGCAAAATTCCTTGTTCTATGCTAGAAGAGTTGAAAACCTTAGGCATGAAAATTTGTGCCAAAAGCTTGTGGCTCTATTCTGAGGTTTAAATGAACTCTGTAAAGCATGCTATAAATTTCATGTGTGTTTGTGTGTGTGTGAAGCCGCTATAAAATAACAAAAATTTCTGCTTGGCTGCTGAGTTTCTCTTTTCACAGTACTGGGGCTCTGGTAGATCTCCTTTTCTTTTTCACGATTTCCATTAGATGGCGGTAGACGCCCAAGGAAAAACATTGGAAGGGCTGGTGGAGGGCGGTGAGAGGTGCATTTTTTTCTTTTCACCGGATTTTTGGTAGTTGAGCAGACACACACTGAAGGTCAAAAATTACGGGTGGGCGTGGAATACATTTTATTTTTTCGTGTGTGTGTGGCCGGCAGATTTGCCACAGACCACCTGTTTAATCTAGGTTCTCTCTAGTCTAGGGTAGCATTTGCCAGCTGACACACACACACACACACACACACACACACACACACATCTCTATAATTTTTCTGAAGTATCAACAGACCTGGTATAAGCTATGGAACCCATTCAGGAGAGCAGCCAGCATTAATTTAAAGATGCTGCGGCATCTGTTGCGCACACGGACATGAAAGACAGCCACTCGCTGGTGGGGAATGGCCTCTGCGGCTGTGGACTGAAATCCCACAGGACGACCCTGCGATCAGCCCATAATGGAGAGAATACTTTAAATATGGATTCTCTCACGTGTGCCTAGCACCAGATCAGAAACTACAAAAGAAATACAAGAGGTGGCGTCCTCCAGTTCTCTTGTAGGAGAGAATACAAAACATACAGAGAAGTAAGTGCCCAGCGAGACCCAGCCTAAATAAGTATCATGAAGGTGGTAATTCCTCTGAACCTTATGAGAGGTCAGTGGGGTATGGGGTATGAAACGACCAAAGAGTTAGGCTTTGTGTAGGGTGAGAGGAATAGGAAGGGGTAAGAGAACTGCGGTGGTGGTGGGGTGGGGGAGACCGTGGGAATCTTTGGAGAAGTCCGGAGAGAACTGAGAATTAGGAAGGAGAGAGGAAATGGAGAGGTGAGGCCAAGTCCAGCTGCTTCGGAAATGCGGGCTCAGCGGACCCTTCTTTATTTAGGCCCCGGACATTCCCGTTAGAATGGAGCATTTCCGGTCAGCTTCCACGCCAGGGTTGTTTCCCGAGCACTTTGGCCACACGATGGAAGTCTGCACCCAGTGTCCCAACAGCTGCGGGAATAGCCGGTACTGACCGCACGGCCAGAGACCACCACGGAGGGGGCGTGGCGAGGGCGGGCAGGAGGGGGCGTGGCGAGGGCGGGCCCCGTGTGGGCGGGGCTCTCCTCTCGCCGCCAACGCCGCCGTCTCTGCCAGCCGCGCGGACCAAGAGCCGGGGTCGCCGCCGCCTGCACGCCCGCGTGCCGGGGCTGCGGTGCGCCAGGATGTCGGGCTTCCTGGAGGAGCTGCTCGGCGAGAAGCTGGTGACTGGCGGTGGCGAGGAGGTGGACGTTCACTCGCTGAGCGCCCGCGGCATCTCGCTGCTTGGGCTTTACTTCGGCTGCAGCCTGAGCGCCCCCTGCGCGCAGCTCAGCGCCAGCTTGGCCGCTTTCTACGGCCGCCTGCGGGGGGACGCGGCGGCCGGGCCGGGGGCTGGGGCCGGGCCGGGGCCCGGGGCCGGGGCGGCCGCGGAGCCGGAGCCGCGGCGCCGCCTGGAGATCGTCTTCGTGTCCTCAGACCAGGACCAGCGGCAGTGGCAGGACTTCGTGCGGGACATGCCGTGGCTGGCGCTGCCCTATAAGGAGAAGCACAGGAAGGTGAGCGGCGCGGGCCTCGTCGGCGCCCCCGGCCTGGGTGCACACCCCGCGCGTTCCCGGGAGCCAGGTCGTCGCCGCCCCCCCTTCCGCCACCCCACCCTACAGTACCCTCTGCCTCCTCCATCATCTTTACACACGCTTCCCCGCTGTCCCTCAGTGTCTCCTTCCTCTGTCTGTGCCCGCCCCCTTCCCGGGACCCCGCTGGGTTGAGGCTCCCGCGGGAACTCCTCGGTGCCTTTGCCAGGCCGCGCCCGCCGGGAAGTTTGACACCCTTCGGTTCCCCGACGCAGGCTTGCATCCTGAGGAGTCCAGAACCCTGTCCCCACAAGTTGGGAGACTGGCGTAGGGGGTGGCTGCGCTGGGACTCCGAACTCCGTGACTCCTATCTCGGAGCCAGAGGTGCGGGGAGAGGCCGCTTTCTTCCTTCAGCCACTGGACTCCTGGCGGATACCTGTAGTAGGTGGGGGAGGGCGCTAGCCCCCTACCCATAATGCTCAAACCAGGAAGTGTTTCTTTTCTTTCGAGAGAAATCTGCTTTTCTGCCCCCGCCCCCCCTCCCCGGAACCTGGACGCAGAAGCCGAGGAAAGGCCGCCCTGCACCCCCGGGGAGGTGGTCGCTGACTGTGGTTTTGGGCAAGAAGGGAACTCACTCCTCTACCTTTCCCACTCTTTTTGCACCGCGGCTGAACTAGTGGCCACCCGGGAGCTTTTCATTGTCTGGCTGTCCAGCCATTCTCCCCTGATGCCTCCCAGGCACAGGAACAGACCGTTCTTGCAGATCTTAGTAGCTTGGTTGGTGGGCCACTGACGTCCCGGCAAGCTTCGAATTAAATGCTGAGTTGATCCCGTAGGTGCAGATTGACCAGAAGAACAAGGATTTGGGGAAATTTATATATACTGCGCTGTCAACTTCTCATTCCTCCCAGTTAGTTTGGGTTTTTGAGTGTATTTGTTGGATGAAGATGTCTATTTTAATAAGAGGGGTTAAGGAATTTTTGTCATGAATTGAAACAGAAAAAGTTTTGGGGTGCTCTTGCTTAATTGGTATGCAACGTGTGAGTCCAGTCCTTTTTCTGAGGAGAATCTCAGTTTATGGACAGGAGAAAGGCTGCACGGGGGGGGGGGGGGGGGGGGGGCTTTAAGGTCCCTGTAGGGAGTGTGGTAATGGCATACCGTGTGTGTTTTATGTGTATAGAATCTTGTTAAGAAGCATGATTTAGATTTAGTGAGAGCAGAAGGCTAATACTGTGACCCCAAATGTCTCCAGTAAATCATCCATCGTGAAGCAGTGTAAGGTACAGACTTGGTATTTAAAGTATGAAATACAGTTTGTACATGTAACACTGGAAGAACATGGGCTCACTAACCGCACAGAGGCAAAACTTGGCATTTTAAGCCCCTTGTAGGTGATTTTACCCATCTTTGATTTATATGTTTGCTGTTGCATTAATAGGAACGACTAGTCCTTTTTTGCTTAACAGCGTGAAACCCTTTGTTTTCCTAAGTAGTTGTTTTTATAGATCTTTTGGGGAGGAATAATGTTCAGAAAGTGATTAACCAAATAATGTTTTCACCATCATGCAAGTTTCTATCTTAGACCAAAGTCTGGGTTAAATAATGTCCTTATTGGGCCATGCCAGGGACTCTAGCTTTTGCAAACATACAGTGATGGTAAACTGTGACAGACCTGAGGCCTGCTGTGATTTTCACAGTGGGGGAAATACATTCGCTAGAGAGCAAAAATATGGAGCAAATTGAGATGTTTTGCAAACACTTAAAGCTTTTTCTTGAGAAAGGAGACCACTAGGTAGGACATAGGCCATGCCTGGTTCTCTAAGCCCTGGCCAGTCCCTTGGCACAAAAAAATGTGGCCTGTGGCCCTAGCCCGGGCCAGCTGATTCTACCAGGTTGAGAGTCGAATGACACCAGGCAGACCCTCATTTGGAAGTACAGTTCAGCACGTGCACATGCCCAAACCCTGGGGCGTCTGCATTTAAAATTTTCATTATTTTGCTTCGAGTTTTTCTGTTTACTTTGTTCTCCAAAACAAGTCCAGTTTTGAGGCCCCAGTTTCTGTTCTTGGATGCTCATGAATAGGCAGCTCAAGATCTTATGCCAGAAACATTCTTATTTAAGGTGATACAACCAGGTAAAAAGACTCCAGCTGTGTTTCTTACGGAAAACATACTCTTGGAAATCACAAAGCCCCGCTCTCACTCTGGAAGGAGTTATTTTCCGCTGGAAACCAAAGACATCTAGAACAGATTCCTTTTCTGTAATTGTGAGTTTTATGTCTCTTGTTTGAAATCGGGGTGCTTAGAAACCTTCGAGCTTGTGATGCCAGTTCCGTGATAAGCACAGTGAAGAGCCCCAGGCACCCCCAGTTCAGGGTGCTGGGTGGGTGATCATCCCAGGGTGGGGATCAACCCAGACCCCCTCGCTGATGGACTCTGTCCATGTCTCACCAACTATAAAAATAGCTCTAAAGAAGAGAATTTTGTTTTACGTTGAAGATAAAACGAAGTTCCAGATTACTAATTTTTTAAAGTTCTCATTAACATTTGTTCTTTAAGACCATTCGTATATTTCTTCCCTTTGGGATAACAAAGGGTATGGTTCTAATTAGTTATTGGCTGGCATTTCTCTAAAGAAAATTGAAAAATTATGGTGGGGAAAGAAAATGCCATGTAGTATTGCTTTTTTTCTTCTTTTATTAATTTCCCCTTTTATGCAGTAAGAAAGTCTGCGGATGACCATATATGTTAAGCCTGCATTTTGCCTGGCTCCTCTCACCTTGTTTGGTGAGAGAAAACAGCAAATAAAAGAAATCTGGCATCTTTAAAGTAGAATTGTTGATGGAAGGTAGTCCTGTTTCTACTTGCTTTAGTGGAAGGTGCAAAAGTAACCAAAGCTTCGTTGTCTGGCTTCCAAGCACACACATATTAAATAGCTGTGTAAAAATTGTAATTAGGCGATAACAGAACTTTGAGTGAATTTGTAAGGGCAGTTTTGTGAGGAAACATAATCCTGAAGTATAGGCAGTTAGACTTGTTTTAAGTAGCTTTGCTTTTTGTTCTGTTGGTAAACATTTTTCTGATTTCTGGAGATGTGATGAGTAGTTGGAAAGTGGGGAAGGTTCCGACTTTGAGATTTGATCTACCCCATTTGATCAGTGTAAGTTACTTAGTTACACAGTAGATCTCCAGGATCTACTTTGGCATCACAGAGGAGAGCACTGGTTTGGGGTTTAAAGCCACAGGACTCAGCCTTGCCTGGGCTAGATACCTGGTGGGAAACATTGATCAGGGTGAGTGCGCTGACATTGAAGGGCGCGGGTTTGCTGGGTCTGTCTTGGTCCTAGAACTTCATGCCTGACAAGGGGAAGAAAAGGCCAGGGTGGGAGAGGGTCCATCAGGACTCTGGACCAGCATCCCTGGTCTACCTGTTGCAGCTAGGACAAGGGAACCTTTTTACTACCCCATGTGGGTTGCTTGCTCTGTGTATTTCTTTTGGTTCAAATTAAATCAGAGGCTTGGCCTAGAATTCACCTGAATCCCTTTGGTTCTTCGCATGGGGCAGGATTTGGTACCAACCGATTCTTACAGCTCCATCTCTCGCAATTCTTTCTCCCTTAAACCCAAATTACCTAGCCATTAAGAGAATGATTTCTGTAACACAGACTACTTTCTTTTTTTTTTTTTTTTAATTTGTATTTATTTGCCCTGGCTGGTGTAGCTCAGTGGATTGAACGTGGGCCTGCGAACCAAAGGATTGCAGTTTGATTCCCAGTCAGGGCACATGCCTGGGTTGCAGGCCAGTTCCCAGCAGGGGACTCACGAGAGGCAACCATACACTGATGTTTCTCTCTCTCCTTCCCTTCCCCTCTAAAGATAAATAAATAAAATCTTTAAAAAATTATTTATTTTCAGAGAGGGGAAGGGAGGGAGAAAGAGAGGAAGAGAAACATCGATGAGCGAGGTCATGCCCTGAAAACCCAGATATGTGTCCTGATCAGGAATTCAACCAGTGACCTTTTAGTCGGCAAGCTGGTGCTCACTCTACTGAGCCATACCAGCCAGGGCTTTTCTTTCTTCCTTTCTCCCTTCCTTCCTTCCTTCCTTCCTTCCTTCCTTCCTTCCTTCCTTCCTTTTTTTTTTTGACAGGACTACTTTCAATCAATGTAGTAAAAGATAGCAGAAAGCCTTGGGGTTTTCTGCCTTCCACGTGGAACTTCCACGAAAGTTCCGCCCCTGTACTGGCCAGGAGGGGTGCCCGCTCTTGACTGTGTTTCCAGGACTTGGATCTGTCTAGTGAAAAACAACAGTCCAATTAAAGTAATAAGAGCAATTTTCCTTGAGAGGCTTTTTCCTTGTTCCATGATTTGTAATGCATTTTTAATCTCATTTTCCTTTTTTTTTTTTAAGATTTTATTTATTTATCTTTAGAGGGGAAGGGAAGGAGAGAGGGAGAGAAACATCGATGTATGGCTGCCTTTCATGTGTCCCCTGCTGGGAACTGGCCTGCAGGGAACTGGCCTGCAACCCAGGCATGTGCCCTGACTGGGAATCGAACCGCGATTGTCTGGTTCACAGGCCCACGCTCAATCCACTGAGCTACACCAGCCAGGGCTAATCTCATTTTTCTTCTCTGCATAATGAAGCTGTCTAGTGTAGTGCCTGAAAATACGGACTCTTGTCCATCTGCCTGAGTTCAGATCCTGGCTCTGCCTTTTATTAGCTCTGTGACCTTGTGCCAGTTACCCTATGTGTCTGTGCCACCGGTTCCTCGTCTGTAAAGTGGAGATGATCAGAACACCTGCCTCACAGGACTGTTGTAAAGACTGCCGCATGGGGCAATATACACATGCCGGCGTGCAGCACGTGCTCCCTAAGTGCTGGCTATTATTTGCTAATACATTCTCATGAAACTTAGTAGTTCATGTCATAGCTTGAGCCTTTGGAACACATCACACTGTAGAATTGTAAAACTGTTACGAGGTG